CCGCCCCCTGGTGGGCTGAGTTGGCCACACACACACACACACACACACACACACACACACACACACAAATAAATAAATAAAAATAAATCTTGGTAGTACTTAGTCAACTTTGCTGCTGCAATGCAGGACAGTATTGGACAGCAGTGTAAGTGTGGCCACATTTGACTCATTCCTACTTGTGCCATTCGTGCAACAAATTGAAACCAGTCCATATAAAATATATAACAAGATAAAATCTAGGTTAGGGCCTACGAGAAAGCTATAAAAGTGTTTTAAAGTCTTTTAGCATAAACGCTGTGTACTTAGAAAGCATTCTCTGCTCTAAACAGTTCCTCCACAAAGGAATACAGCTGTCCATGGTCAGCAGTCCATTGGACAATGGCTTCAATAGGGATTCACTAAAGAGATGCCAGGGAAAACAGTTCTCTTTAAGAGTGCCAAATGTTCTAAGGGTGTTTAACAAGACAGCAAGGTAACTACAGCTTGTTAGAGATCTATAAGGGATAGGGAAAAGTCTGAAGAAATTACCTAGCACTTTATGAGTTTACAGTAAATGTGTTAAAGTCCACAACTTATTATCAAATTATTTTCTTATACACATAAATGATAACTAGACCTAGGAGAAGAGGAAAAGGTTAAAGATTGTCTCTTAAGTTAAATGTGTTTTGGTCCCATAAGTGTGGTGCTTTCAGAAATAGTTCCTTCTATATCAACAATTCAGCTCTTTCCACCATGTCTCAAGTTCTATCTCCTCAGGGAGCGTGTCCAAAAACTCTAAGCCATTACATAGATTTTATGTGTATTATCCTGGACTGGAAAAATTCTTATGATTCATCTAAGCTGGAGACAGGGTATATATCCCTTGATATATATGACTTTCTTGTCTTTGATCTTAGCAAATGCTCATTTTATATGGGCTTAACTTACTTTTTGAATAGGAGGAAAATGCTGAAACAGTTCAGTAGGATTTTTCTTTCTAATTTATTTGCCTCTAAAAAAGAAAGTACAAAGTGGTAGGAAAAGATTAGGAGTAAAGCCAGAGAATGAAAACTGAGGCAGAACAGGCTTGACATTTTGTCCAGAGGGTAGAGGAGGATCAGAGCCAGACTGATTCTATTTTGTATATGGATATGGGTGGGTGTGCATAGGCATATGCTTGCACTGAGGTTTGCAAGTTGATTACACGATGTTGGAAAGAACCTGTTACTATTACAGATTTTTGTACTTAAGGTTTGATTTTCAGTGATGTTTTCTGCAGACAAGATTAAATATGTCATTGCCTCTGTCTCAATATCCAACCACCACCATTCACTTTGGAGAAGAGAACACAGGATAATTTACCCAGCACTCAGTTCTTTGGGATGAGACCACAGTATTTTTTTTTTCAGATCATTTTCTTTACCTATACATAATATTTATGTTCCATATGGGTAGTTGGTACATCTATATAATACATCTCACATTCTTGCTGAATTCCATTAGTCCCCACTCCATCCATCTCTTGATCCCCTTTCTTTTTCAGAACATGTTTACAATGCACAATGTTCACATGACTTCTGTGGAGTTGGTTCATGGACATAACACATGTCTTTTCTCTCCTCTCCATCCTCATTGCAACTGTTGATCTAGGAGATGGCTCAGTAGAACAATCACTTCCCTGGCAAGGGCAAGGGCCTGGGTTCAATCCTTGATTCTGAAAAAAAAAACCTGTTGGTCTCTCTTCCCTTTGAGAAAGATCTATCTCCAGCTTATTATTATCTATGTTGTTTTGCTCTTCACTTATACTTTTAGGTTCTCATATTAGAGAAATCCTGCATTATTTAAATGTGTGTCTGATTTATTTCACTTAATATTATGGCCTCAAAATGCATACATTTTCCTAAATAAGATTCAAATTTATCTTTCTTTATGGCAGAGTAATATTTGATTGCATGTAAATATGAATTTTCTTTTTTATTAATTTTGATGAGAAAGAAATAGCAATGAGACAGTTTCAAAACAGGTTGGTAGGACATTTACAATAATTGATACATTGCATATTGTTGTCTTTCTAGTAGCTATTCAGAGTACATTTTGTAGACATGATATCTTGTCTAAACACTATTAGTACAAATCTTTCTTCTCGTTGAACTAAGAGAAAGTAGCTGTATATCTATCATAACTTAATAAAGATATATATTTTTTCACTACAAAATGGTGCTTCATTTAAATCCCCCTTTTTTATTTTTTTTTTAGAGATGGGTGTTCAGACAGATAGTGATGTTAAACTCAAATGACTCTGTTATAGGGTAATAATGTCATT